ATCTCCTACTAATCTTATGGGTTTTCCCTTATGAGTTGCTGTCTTCTTTTGTCTGGCTGACTTTACATGTTTTTTTTCCTTTATCACTATATTTTGCCCACTTAATCACAATATGTCTTGGCACGGATCTGCTTTTGTTGATTTTGATGGGAGTTCTGTGTGCCTCCTGGATCTAGATATTTGTTTCCTTCCCCAAATTAGGGGAGGTTTCAGCTATTATTTGTCCAAATAAATATTTTCCTCCTTTTCTCTCTCTTCTTCTTCTGGAATTCCTATAATATGACTGTTATTTAAATATTTTATTTATTTATTTATTTATTTATTATCTATTTATTTATTTATTTATTCATTCATTCATTCATTTAATTGAGAGAGAGAGAGCACAATCAGGGGGAGGGAGAAGAATAAGTAGACTCCATGCTGAGCACAGAGCCTGGTGTGGGGCTTGATGCCACAACCCTGAGATCATGACTGGAGCCAAAACCAGGAGTCAGACAATTAACTCACTGAATCACCCATGCACCCCATATAGTATGAATGTTATTACATGTGATGGAGTTACTGACATTCCTAAATCTATCCTCATTTTGTGTAATGATTTTTCTCTTTTGTTGAGCTTGATTATTTTCCATTACTCTGCATTTTAGGTCACTAATTCATTCCTGTGCTTCTTCCATCCTGCTCATTATTCCATCAAGTGTGTTTGTCATTTCATTTATTGTGCCCTTTATCTCTGCTATATTATTCCTTATCTCTGTGGTAAGGGCCTCACTCATGTCTTCCTCTCTTTCCTCAAGTCCAGTGAGTGTCTTCTGATCATTACTTTAAATTCCTTATCAGGCATGTTACTTGTATCTGTTTGGCTTTGATCTCTAACCTTGGTGTATTTCTGTTCTTTTATTTGGGATAAATTTCTGTCTTCTCATTTTGTCTAAGCCTCTGTGACTCTTTCTGTGTTTTCAGAAAGTTAGCTATGTCTCCTGTTTTTGAGGGTAATGTACTTATGAAGTAAAGATCGTGTAATGCCCTGGTTTGTTGTGCCCCCTATTCCCCACGTCCCAGCCCTTCCCAGAGTGTCTCCAATGTGTGCTGCATGTGCTATGATATTGTCTTCTGGCTGCTTTACCTTCAGATCCGTCACCTGCAGAGCCTATCTTTGCCTGTTGAGGGTATTTTGGTCCTGGGCCTGAATGTGGGGCATTTTAACTAGATGTGTTCAGGTATCTTTGTGAAATGAGACCTGTCATCACCACCACCATAACCAAGGCTCCTCAAAACTCTTGAATGAGGTGATGTGGTGTGAGCAGGAGTTTGGGCAAGGCTTCTGGGGAAGGAGGCATTGTGTGCTGGGACTGAGGCAAGTGTGACTGGGAGGGACAGACCACTAGGGCATGAAGAGAGGGGCTAGGTGTGAAGATGTTAGGTAGCAAATGTCAGTGCTGAACTGGTTCTAGGAGATGGCCCTGTGCTTATGCTGAGGAGAGGGAGAGGGAAAAGGTGCAGGTGTTTCCCTCTGTTCCAGGAGTGGTCTCTTTATGGATGCTTTTGCTGGGACAAGATCTGAAATGAGCAAATCCCCATTGTGTGCCCAGGCTCTCTTCAGAATGCTGTTTCCATGCTGTATGTCTGTGTTGTGTGCCTGCCTTCTCTCCAAGAGCAGCACTAATGCTTTATGTTCTCTATTCCATCTGAACCCACTGACCTTGAAAACTCCAGGCTTTAAGTCCCACTGGTTGAAAGAACTCACAAAATTTGACCTCTCTCACTCTGTAATGCAATTGCTGTGTGATTTCATTTTCCCCATGTGTTCTGCTGTGTGTTATTCTGTCTCTCACCCTTCTCCATGAACATGTCTCTCTCCCCACTGCAGTAGCCATAATCTGTTTTTCTCCCAAACCCCACCTTCACACTTCCTACCTTTTTCGATGTGGCCTCTTCTCTACCTTTATTTGTGGAGTTTGTTCTGCCAGTCTTCAGGTCAATTTCTGGGGCATTTAGGATGATTTCTTAGTTACCTAGTTGTATCTGTGGGACAAGGGGAACCTATGGTCCTCCCACTCAACTGCCATCTTTCCACAAACACTTGTGTCTTAATGAATAATGGCCTCCTTTGAATTAGAGTTAACTATATTATTTTTGTCACTGAGTTTCCTATACCTCCCTGTCAGCAGTTTTTTATTTCCTTCTACACTTCTTTCCATCTTTCTGATTCTTTTTCATAAATGATTGCTGTCAGTCTAGTTTGAAAGTAATTAACATAAAATGTCAGGTTATCTAGAGACATACTAGTTAGCCATTTCTAACAAATTTAGCTAAGCCTCCAGTGTATTTTAGATTTTATTGGGGTGGTTGATTTTAAGCTTAACTATGCATTCTCATTGCACTAAAGTGTCACCTACATCCCAGGACGATTTTCTCAGGAAATTGTTAAGTAATTTGACTGGATTTCCTCACATACCTGTGATTTTTAAGGAAGAGAAGAGAGAGGAATAAAATAGAAATGTATCACTGAGTTTCCTCAAAAGCAACATGATATCTTCAAGAAAAAGGAAATACCATCATCAAAATACTACCAGCCATACATATAGATAGATCCTCAGGACAGGAGATCATGCCTTCTATCAGTTTTATCCAGCATAAATTTTTGTGGTTTTAACATCTTGAGTTTTGTGTAGTTCACTCCAAACTTCACATTGTAGAAACTGAAAGACCCCATTAAGTTGCTTATACTTCAGGGATATTTTTTCTCCACTTAATAAGAAAAAGCTAACATTGTCCATGATTCCATGTTAAAAATATAAGCACAGAATATTGTAGACATTTTTCTTTTTAAAACTTTTCCCGGGATGCCTGGGTGGCTCAGTTGGTTAAGCAGCTGCCTTCAGCTCAGGTCATGATCCCAGGGTCCTGGGATCAAGTCCCGCATTGGACTCCTTGCTCAGCAGGGAGCCTGCTTCTTCCTCTGCCTGCAGCTCCCCCTGCTCGTACTCTCGCTCACTCTCTTCCGCCTATGATCTCTCTGGCAAATAAATAAATAAAAATCTTAAAAAAAAAACAAAAACTTTTCCCAACAACCCGTTTCAATGTTGGCCAAGGCCTGATTTGTCGTGAACTTGGTGAGATGCCCACTGTTTCCAATAGGATACAATTAGATTCCAAAGTGGTTTGTGTTACACAAATATAACACCATTATCACAATCATTACATGCAAATAAGGAGTGAAATATTTAAAAAAGTATCAGAGTGGCTCATAGCTAAAATAATTGATTGTATTTTAAAGATATTATTTGGGGTGCCTGGGTGGCTCAGTTGGTTAAGCATCTGTCTTTGGCTCAGGTCATGATTTCAGGGTCCTGGGATTGAGTCCCACATCGGGCTCCCTGCTCAGTGGGGAGTCTGCTTCTGCCTCTCACTTTCTCTCTCTATGCCCGCTCTTTCTCTCTCTCTAATAAATAAATAAAATCTTTAGGAAAAAAGATATTATTTAATTTTATATGGTGTTACACCTTACAAAATTCATGAATTGTTATTTTATGCAATGAGGACTTAATTGTATTTTACTACAAGCAAACTCTGCAATAGAGACTAAAATGAACAATAAAAGGAAAACAGTTCTTAAATTTATAGTTGTAAAGTAGTAATATTACATAATTTCCTTCTTAAAGTCCATGTGGATTTTCCTACTCTATTTAAAATCAAATAAAAGATAGTTGGTGTACCATTATTATGAATAGACCTGTAATGTTGTGTAAGATATATATTGGTGCATTACTGAATTTTGGAAGATATAATTATTACCAAACATGGCATGTCCAAGTATTTATTCTAACTCATGCAGCACAAGTACATATGACAAAACTATAATTTGGTAAATTTTGAAAATGAGTAAGAGATCAATAACAGTATAGAGAAGGAAATAAAAAGATATCTGTGAATAACATAAGAACACTTCACTGGTGATATGATCACTTATCTGTCTAAAGCAGATAAGAGAAAGAGAGAAGACATTGAATGCTAGAAACTAAAAATAGATTCAGAACTGCAGAGAGTGAGTATATAGTAGAAGTGACTCACTGGGGACCAAATTTTGAAATTGGGATGTTCAGGGTTGAAAAAACAGTGGAGAAAATTATACATGATGGCAGAGTTAAAGCAGTGTATTACATAAGCAGTAATACACAACATTCTTACTTCTAGATGTGATAGAAAGAGGGGAATGGAGTGTGAAGTGTGAGCCCTCCCCAGTGAGAAACAACTGCTTTCTAGTCACACTGAATGGAAGTGCTGGGCATCAAGGCAAAGTGGAGTCTAGTTTCACAGATTTTAGTCTGCATCACTGGAAAAAATTGATAACAAAAATGTAAAGTAGTTGATAAGGCGTGTGTATGTGTGTAAGTGTATTAGAAATGACACTCTCAGTTTTGACCATATTCAGGCTAAAATGCAAAATATTGTGAACTAAATTAGATATCTAAATCAGAGATTTGGAAAGTAAGTGATCTCTTTGGAGGGACAAGTATAACTGAGAATGGATAGAGTCACAAGAAAAGAGAGAAATACAAACACAGAGTAAGTGGAAGCTAAAATTGATAGAAAGAGTGAACTAATAATGTAAATATATCATCATAAAGTCAATCACATAAAGGAAATTAGTAAAAGGAAGATCTATAAATAGATGGTTAATGATTTAAAAAAAATACTAGAACATATACATGATAGCGGTGTGAGTATGGATACAGATATGAACATATATCCCACCTAAGACCAGCTCAGTTTATTCCTGTTAATTATTAACCATTCTCTGCTTACTCTTGAAAATGTCTGTTTTTAGATGATAAATATTAAAAGCCCTGTATATATATGTATATATAACTAGTTATATGTATGTATGCATGTGTTCATAAATTCCTATGAGTACATAAATATGTGTTCTATATATCAACTGAAAATTATTCTATGAATTTATTCTAAAGTGAGCATTGATATATTCTCCTTTAATATTATAATTGCTGTAAACATGCTCTGTGACATAGAAGCCTTTTAAGTGCTTCTTTGACCTCCATGTTTTTCAGGCTGTAGATCATGGGGTTTAACATTGGGGTAATAACCCCATATAGCATGGAGGTGAGTCTGTCTCTGGCTGGAGAGTGTTGACTGGAGGAAGGCCGAATGTAGGTAAATATTGCTGTGCCATAGAACAGACAGACCACTAGGAGGTGGGAAGCACATGTGGAGAAGGCTTTGTGTTTCCCTTCCACTGACTGGATCTTTAGAATGGTGGATATAATGTAGATATAAGAGATAAAGGTGATCAGGAAGGCGCTGATCCCCAGTATGCCTCCTACCACTAAAACGAGCATTTCAGCTACATAAGTGGATGAGCATGAGAGGGCCATCACTGGTGGGATGTCACAATAGTATTGGTTAACTCGGTTGGACTTGCAAAAAGACAGGCGGAATGTGGACACTGTATGGAGGAGGGAATTGAGAAACCCTGCTGCCCAGGTCCCAGCTGTCAGCTGGACACACTGAACCTTGGTCATGATGAGCATGTAACGAAGGGGGAAGCAGATGGCCACATACCGGTCATAAGCCATGACAGCAAGAAGGAAGACTTCAGTCCCTACCAGGGCCACCAGGAAAAAAAGCTGTAAAGCACATCCAAAGAAGGAAATGCTTTGCTGCTCAGTCAGGAGGTTCTCCAGCATCTTGGGGACAGTAGCTGATGGGCAGAAAATGTCTAAGAGGGATAAATTGACCAAAAAGTAATACATGGGTGAGTGTAGCTTTTTCTCAGTCCCAATGGCCAAGAGAATGGCCCCATTTCCTACCAAGGTGACTTGATAGATGATGGCAAAGACCACAAAGAGAGGGTAGCGTACCTCAGGGAGGTCAGAGAGCCCTATGAGGATAAACTGAGTCACAGTGGTAAGATTGTAAATGTCCATCTCCTCTCTCCATAAGGGACTTTCTGGAAGAAATGAAACAAACACAGGTTAGACTAAAAAGCCAAGGAGACTAGTAATGAGAAATTCTTGGAAAAATATTGGTGTGTGGCTGGTAAATCCTGTTGTTATGATCGAGATTTAATTTATTAGAACAACTGTGAAAAACATCTCCTGTGTTCATGTTTCTTGAAATACTCATCCTCAGTTCTTTATAAAGAGACAGATTTCTGAGAAACAAAGGAGAAATTAAAAATTTGCATTCTCAGTAAAACAGTTGTGAATCTTTCGTCAGTGTTTGGGATTTCACAATTCAGTGAATGTTGATGGTGTTTCCCATACCTATTTGGGCATTGACATTATCTTGCCTTGTATTATCTAAATGTGTACAATTGTATGCACTAGCTAAATTCTACATAACTCAAAAGTGGAAGCTGTGCATTTTACATGATATACAATTTTAATAACTGTTAGCAACTATAAGCAGATATATAAAGCAGATATATAGTATATTTGTCTAAATAATTATTCAGTAAAAGAATGGATGGTGTGTCTCCTGTTTTGATGAAGTGTTTCTACTGGTAAGAAATAAATGTAGGAATGCTTTTATAACTTCCAAAATATAATAATTTTATATGAAGATTAATATCTGTTTTCCTACAAAGAGTATACCTTAATAAAATTGAAATAGCCTGCAAAATATAAATAAAACTATATATATGTAAAATCTGTTTTTGATAGTTTGTAAACAAATATACTCACATAATATTCAATTCCCTTCCTCTGAAAATTTATAATTTTCCCCATGTGTCTACTTATTTAAGGAAATATGGGGTTTTAATTTATATATGTATATAATTTATGTTATATATTATAATTTAACTATGATTAATTAATTATAATTATGTAATTTTGATCTTCCTAGCCATACTAACTCATTTAATTTTAATTGCATTTGTATGCATTTTAATAGTCAACATATTTATAACGTTTAAGGCTATTTACAAAAATAACTTTAATAAAACTTCTACAAATCAATACATTTGTGGAATTTTTGTCATTTTGAAACTATTTTCTTTTTTTAATGTCACATGTGTGTGAAAGTAAAATAGAAGATAATTCAAAAATAAAATGTAAGAGTCACATTTGATGCCTCCTATCCCCATTTATTTTGTCTAATGGAAATTGTTAATTAGTTGTGCTCAGAGAAAATGTACAGTGTATATAATACAGGTTATACATAAATATTTACTTAAATAGAATTAAATTATTTTTGGCACTTCTTCCAATGCAATACTTAAGTAAAAATCTTTGAAACTGTTTGGGAGAAATTTTCACTCATCCTCAAGTAGCATCAGTTTTGTACCATGCTTGGGAGTAAAAAACAAATCAAAACTTACATTAATGATATTAAAATCATAAAAATTAGGAAAGAAAATTACCACAATAACCAGAAAGTGCTTTAATATCATTATCTAATCAGCAGATATTTAATGAGTGAATTAAAAATATTGAAACAAAAAGCTTCTATCATGTCAGTTCTCAAATTCTCATTCAAGATTTTACAAAACTGCTAAATTTCTATTTGTCAACCTCTTTATATACTTGTTTTCTGAAAATGTTATAGTGAATTCACTAAATTTTAAAAGGAACTTTCTATTAAAAGAAAATTAATATTTTGAGGCAGTAAACACTAAATTCTATGTTAAATACTTAAATTTCTTTTTACCCATACTTACTAATTTGACCCCTTTTTTGTAACAAGAATTATGAGAAATAAGTCAAAAATAACCTAATGAACACATAAGCTAGCTATATATTGAATTCCATAATCAATATATATCCTTCATAATATAATGCCTATTCCATACACCTTGTAGTTTATTAAGTTTTTAAATCAAACTTACTGTCTTCACATATAGAATATAGATTTTGTTTATTTGGGGAAGGAACTTTTATTTACCTCAGCAGTACCCTGCTTTTGAAATAAAACATAATTCAACTTTATATATTTGCCATTTAATTAGAAAAATAAGAGTAATACTTTTTTAAATAATATATTGCTGAGGAAGAAGTTCTATAACCTTCCTTATTAGTCCAGAAAATTGATAGCACTTATACTAGAAAATCTGAAAAATTCTTGTGAAATGCAATATCCCACCTGCTTTTTGAGACTGGTTTAAATGTAAGCATTTAAGTATATGAAGAATACACATGGAAATCAGGTTTTTTGTTTTTGATTTTGTTTTTTGGTCATGGACAACCAAACATATCATTAGAATTGGGGCAGTGGATGTGTGGCTAAGATTAGCTTTCTCTTGGATATTACCCAGAAATCAAGCAGTCTCATTATTTATAAGACTTACCATATGCCTGGGATGAAATCCAAATGTACCATAAATGAAGCTGATTTCCTTAGCAAATAGTTACCTCAAATTTCCACTCTATAATGGAAAAGAACATCACTCAATTAAACAAAAATAGTCACCAATAAATCTTAGGTCTTGAAATAATTCAAAATATATAATGTATTTAATAAATCAATATCAAAAAAATTATATTTAACATTTCTTTAAAAACAGGAGGATGTTTTTCATTAAAGCTATATTGTTAAAGAAGTTCTATAGGCCTTTTAACTCAATGATTGATAGCTAATAAATTTAAGGAATCAGCAATGACCTTCTAAAATTTAATCTTTCCAAAAAATATTTATTCTTTCCACCTGCCATGTAACATCTTTCTTGTCTGTTACGTCTCATAGATCCATTTTTTTTTTTTTGCCAAATCAGGATGAATTTATTTGAAAAACAAGTCCAGTTTTACCAAACTTTCATAGATCCAATTTTCTAGGGACCATACATTCATGTCAATGGGTCAGAAAAATTCATTAAATACATCCGAATTCTACTTACAGAGGTTTGAGATACACACTTGTGTGAGCATGCACAATTTTTAAGGCTGAAATTAAACTATATTAAGCACTTATTTAAATATAAACACTATAATATTTAAAAGGCCTCACTTTATCTTACTGATTTAGTATTTAGTTTTAACTAGTTTCCTAAATGTATATGTTCTTACAATTTTAACATCTCCACAATCATCCAATTAGTTATTTTAGTTTCAAAAGTCCAGACTTTAACATACAATTTTCTTTTCAAGATCCAGAGTACTCATTATCAATAAAAATATTCAACAGTAAGAAAGCAAAATGACCTCGCCACTCCCCCAAAAAGCATCAGTAATTAAAAGCAAACTTATCACTCATATATAGTGTCTCTATTGCAAGTTATTCTATAGTTGATATCATGCCCACTTTTCCCTTAGGGGGGGAAAATAATAACTCTAGAGAGAATATTCTGCTCTTCATAAATCTAAATTACTACCAATGTAATAATAGTCACTTACTAATAATAACAGAAACCTACTTATCTTATAGCTAGTCAATTTAGTGGAAGTGAAAAGAAAAAAACATAAAGAAGAGTAAAAATTTTGTTTTGTAATTGTCTAAGGTAAGATTGTGCATCCAGTGAATGTAAGTGAAGGGCATATAGATGTTCATTATGCCATTTTAATTTTTCTATAACTTTGTAATTTTCCCAAATAAAATGTTGGATATCAAACATGAACATTAAAAAATGACATTATCCAGATTAATCTGGCTACATGGACCTCAGTGTTTGCATTCTTTAACTTTTTTTTTTTTTCAAGTAATAACTTGGAATACTTGTAATCTCTTTTTAGGTCTTTACATTGTTTCTGGTGTACTTTATGGAATAGATTTTAACTCTAATTGTGTTATATGTTTTTACCTTTTAAGTCTTTGGACAATAGAGGTGTACACTCTGTTAGAAAATAACAAGAGGAGGGGCGGAGCAAGATGGCGGAAGAGTAGGAGACCTGGATTTTGTCTGGTCTCAGGAATTCAGCTGGATAGGGATCAAACCATTCTGAACATCTACAAACTCAACAGGAGATCGAAGAAAAGAATAGCAACCACTCTGGAAAACAGTATGGAGGTTCTTCAACAAGTTGAAAATAGAGCTAGCATACAACCCAGAAATTGCACTACTGGGTATTTACCCCAAAGATACAAATGTAG